CCTCTATGTCTCTGTCTGTCTGGGGAGCACACCTCTCCAAAAAAAAAAAAAAAACCATGCTGTTGACCATGTGGGATCTGGCTCCCTTAACCACCAGCCCAAGAACAATATTTTACATCATAGTAGAGAACACAGAATATAGTTCAACTCAGTATTTATCTGAGATATGCCTTGATAAACTAATAGGGGTAATATGGAAAACAAAGAGACAAAAAAGACTCTTGAGAAAACAAAGATGGCAGGACCAGCAGTTAGCGTAATGGCTATGTCGCTAAACTCCCATGTAGTCGACCTCGGGTCAAGTCCTGGATCCGGTGGCTTAAACTCATTCCGGGCACGTGTGCATGCGTGCCCAAGAACCTGAGAGGAGAATGGAGAACAGACGGCAGCGTGGCCATCCCCCCTTGGGGGCTGATTTCTCGCTTTCTGTCTCTGTCTCTCTCTGACTCTCTGGCAAGCGCACACGCCCTGTTGCAAAAAACTCTAAAAAAAAAAAAAAAGATAGCATATACAAAAATATGCTTTTAGATCAACAAAGTTCATTTGCAGAATGAATTAGTGCGGGAACAGAAGAACGCAGGCAAAAAATTGGGGCCAACCCCAAAAAGTCTGAAGAGCTATGCATTGACTTTGCTTAGACATAGTATTTCCCCTAAAGCTGCTTTCTTTATCCACCTCTCATACAAATGGACTGTCCAGCTTGACCCAGATGACTCCACCACTTTTAGATCAACAAAGTTCATTTGCAGAATGAATTAGTGCGGGAACAGAAGAACGCAGGCAAAAAATTGGGGCCAACCCCAAAAAGTCTGAAGAGCTATGCATTGACTTTGCTTAGACATAGTATTTCCCCTAAAGCTGCTTTCTTTATCCACCTCTCATACAAATGGACTGTCCAGCTTGACCCAGATGACTCCACCAAACTCAGAATTCTTGGAGGATAAGATGCCAAGAGCCCATTAATAACTTGCGACTGAGACAGAAAAAGAGTGAACCCATCTCCAGATTATATGAGGTCTAGCAGTATTTCCCAAGAGACTCCCTAGATCTTCTACTAGCCTCTCCCTTTTCTTGAACTAGCAAAAGAGCACACTGCATTCTCACAGTCAGCCAATTCCTGATTAGGATAAAGTCATGGGCAAAATTATAAATAGTTCCAGGACCAGCAAGTGGCATGGTGATAAATCCCACATGGCCGATCATGGTTCAAGTCCTGGACCTGGAGGCATGCTTTCTCACTTTCCATCTCTCTCTGTCTCTCATTGGTCAAATTAAAGAAGAAGAAGAAGAATAACAATAAATAAAGTTAAATTATTTCAAGAACTAGAAGTCCAACAGCAACACCCAAGTACGTGTGCACATACACACACAAATATAACATCTTGGAAGTTCCTATTTTATTCAGGTTGAATGATTTTCTTCATTGCCCAAGGACACATGCACTCACCAGAGAAAGAGAGAGGTAGAGAGGGAAAAAGAAAGCACCCCCCTTCCCATGGGCCATTATTTCATTGTAACCCCTTTCCCTTCATTTTTCCATCCTGTCAGGATTTTAGGTATGCAAACACATTTGTCCAACATGGTTTTTAAGCCACCAGGGCCAGGATTTGAATTGCAGTTAGCAATGTGGGATCCACCTCCCTTAATTACTAGCCTTCAGGGCTGGCCCCTCAGGCTGAAAATTATATCTCCTCTACCACTATCATTCTAAGTCATGTAGAATTCGAAACTTGTAGGGTCAGCCTGTGGCCTGGTGGTTAAGGGAGCTGACCATGGCTGTCCAAGTGGTTAGAGTTCTGGACCTGGTGGTTTAAAAAACATGTTAGATGGGACCAGCAGTTAGTGTAATGGCTATATCGCCGGGCTCCCACGTAGTCAACGGCGGTTCGCATCTCAGACCCGGTGGCTTAAAACTCATGCCGGGCTCGTGTGCATACATGCCCAAGATCTGAGAGGAGAATGGAGGAGAAGGGATTGTGGCGTGACCATTCCCCCTGGGAGGTGATTTCTCGCTTTCTGTCTCTATGTCTCT